TTCCTTCCATTAGCGCGAACGGAGCACAACCCAAAGGCCTCAAACACAGCATTGATGTCTCGTTCTGGATAAGGCTAGTAGGCTACCATATCCTGCACTTTTCTTCTTCAGTTTCTCTCTACATTCTCCATAGCCATGCCAATTTCCACCTTATCTCTCCCTTCCATCGGCTATTGCTGTCGTAATTCTCCACCTTTCCCACTCAAATCTGCTTTTTTCTCAAAACCCATAAAAACCGATGTCAGTTTCGCACTCAAAACCTCCCAAAAGAGAAGTACCCGTGTGGTTTCAATGAGCACGGAGGCTGGTATTGGAGTCATGGGTACAAAGCTGGGGATGATGAGCTACTTCGAGACTGATGCAAAGGTTGTGCCCGTCACTGTGGTGGGGTTTCGAGAAGGCAATATCGTGACCCAAGTCAAGACTGAGGCCACTGATGGGTATAACGCTGTTCAGGTTGGGTACCGGAGGGTGAGGGACAGGAAGCTGACGAAACCGGAGTTGGGTCATTTGGAGAAGGCTGGGCTGATACCAATGCGGCATTTACAGGAGTTCAGGCTGCAGAGTTTAGATGGGTTTGAGGTGGGTCAGAGGTTGGCTGTGGAGGAGATTTTTAAGGAAGGGGATCTTGTTGATGTCTCTGGAACCTCTATTGGGAAGGGTTTTCAAGGTATGTTTTCATTCTCTTTAAAAATTGAATCTTTGTATCAAGCATTATATTTACTTTGTTCTTTTTAGGTACATTGGGGGTGTGAAGGGGAATTGATGGTTTTATGGGGTGGTTTTTTCTGCTATGGGAATGGATTCATGGCTATGTTTGTTCAAATAGTGTTTCATGTGAGGTGTTTGATTTCAGTTGTAACCAAGATATTGGAGGATAATTCAAATGTTATTTTACCTTATACACAGATGCAATTTTCCCATCCATAGTCCTTGGTCTTATATTAATATGGGTTCAATTGTGTTTATGCTATCTCAAGTCTAAAGAGGGTGGTTAATCAGAGCTTTATCATGATTGTATCTAGGTAATGATCATTGCAGGGTATATGTTAGTGATTTATACAAGTATTATGAGATATTTTGCTGATACATCTCTCATGGTGATTCGTGGTTTCCAAATTTAATCGGCATCTTATGTTGTGGTTTTATTCTTATTTTCTGAATACTTGGCTTTGTTAATTGTAATGCAATGCCCATGAATTTGATATTTTTCTTTCTACTCTTGAAATTCTTGATAGCTGGATTCTGATTTTTACATTACTTGTTCAACTTAATTTCACATAGGTGGAATAAAGCGCCACAATTTCAAAAGGGGCCTAATGACTCACGGCTCCAAAAGTCATAGGGCTTTAGGATCTATTGGTGCTGGGACAACACCCGGTCGAGTGTACAAGGGCAAGAAGATGCCTGGAAGGATGGGAGGAAACAAGACAAAAATCAGAAAGCTCAAGATCGTGAAAATTGACAATGAACTTAATGTTGTAATGATCAAAGGAGCTGTCCCTGGTAAGCCAGGAAACCTTCTTCGCATAACTCCAGCTAAGATCGTTGGTAAAAATATACCGAAGAACTAGCTTGATGTACTCTAATTTGTACATTTTTGTGTATTTTTTGCATAATCAAAACCCACTATTCTGTATAATTTATTTTTTAACCTTTGCTGTAGCAATTTAGATTTCAGTTGTTGACATCTTTCAATGTATCATCAGGTGCGTGGTTTTAATGAAAAATCTGATTACTTTTTTGAGTTAAATTCTGACTCAGATGATTTCTCCATTTACAAAGCATTTATTGGTTGAACAGTTTATGTAGTACAAATATTCTCTGTGAATGCTTTCCTATAATATCACTGCTTTAATAATCTCATCACCATGAGTTGTAGTCTTGTAGATTACAAGGTAGATGGGGATCTTTGTAGCGAATTGCAATATTTGAAGTGTTTTACGCTCTTAGTTTGCCTGTGTGGGGTGTGAGGTTGGCAATAGCTGTATTGATCTGCTGTTGTGTCTTGCCAGAGCATCTTCAATTTTCCTGGTTAATGGCACTCTTTTGCAGCAGTTAAGTACTGAATGACCCTCGAACCAACTGGTTTTCCACCATAGTGTAGACCAAATGTACCTATTATGAGCTATGTAGCTGTTTTCTACCCTGAGGTTGGTTTAAACATATTTATTTACCTTAAATAACACCACGATCCATAATCCATAGAATGGGGTTGAATTTTAGGGACTGGAAGTTGAGAATTGATAGAGAAAGAGATAATTCCATATTTTGCTGCTAGAAATGGAGAATTGTCTTGATCAAATTCTGCTTGGAAATGAAAGGGTATATCCCAAACATGGAGTTCAGTGCAGCTTAAAGAGCAGATCTTTAATTTCACACACCTAGTGTATTATTTTATAGCAACTGCATCTACATGCTAGACAGAGATGACTATTTACAACCTGCTTTATCCACAAGTTTAAGTTCCATTTATATGGCAAGATTCATTTTTGTCTAACTGAGTGTTAATATGCTTTAGCCTCTGTAGGAGTTTGAACCATTGTTGACATTGATCTTCAAAATCAAAGTGGATATGACCTTGACTAAGCTTAGGCTACTAGTATGCATGCTTGATCTTCTACTAGGTGTGGCGGCTACGTAGAGTGCAGGTTTTTGTGATGGAGGTTTTACTGAAATTGTAGGCAGTCAGCATCATGAACATTTGTTTATTTTCAAAAATAAAATTAACATTTCCTTGAAACATTTATTATTTATTAGTTTATTACTTGATGTTAGGACATGCATACCTGCACAGAATTTATTATGATCGTTCCATGATTTTGGGATTAAGGTTACAGAAATACCATTAGATGAGGGTGAGTCCTCCTCCATCTTATTGTTCTGGTTTTGCAACCTAGACTGCAAAATCGCAAACTCTTAAAGATTATGGGCGTGTTTGGTAGGTGCCCAGAAGCAGTTTCCAGCCAGAAACTGATGTTGCCTGGAAATTGTTGTTAGGTAGAGTACTGATTGGCGGGTTTTCCATGTTTGGTATGGCTACTGTAAACTTGTTTACTCAACTAAACTTGACTTAGTCGATTAAAACCAAACTTAAATCAATGGTAACCTCCTAGGACTCTGGCTCAAGCTCGGAAAGCATTTCCAGCCTTAGGCCGATAACTTTTTCCAGGTCTCCCCACTTTAGTTGGTGTCCGAGAAGGCCAAACACCACAAGTGTTTCCAGGTTTGGTCATTTTCAACCAATTTCCTGAGAAAGTTGGGTAGAAAAACATCACCAGAGTTTTAAACTCAGTTATTCTTAAGTCCCTAACATTTCTTGTAGGCCAAAAAGGATACAGATGATGATGGTTGTGACCTTAAGTGAAGTATAGCAAATTCCTTGCAAAGATATTAAATGCTGCCTCCAAACAGAATTCAAAATCTAAAAAGGAAAAAAAATAAGATTCATGGCATTTGTACAAGACATAATTTTCATGTATGAGAGTCATTAATGATACAAAATAAGTTAAAACGTACATTAGACTTGGAAAAGTTTCAGATTCAAATCCTCAGTCTTGGATCATTTTGTACAAAAGAAAAAGGTTAATAAAAATATTATTCAAAAGCAGAACAGACCTGTTTTCCGAACAGAGGCTATGAGTCAGAGGAGCTCAAGCAATTGAATAAAACAAAAAAGAGAACAACCAAAATCACTGTCCCCAATCCAAACCCTTCACCGTCAGAACTACTGCTCTGCTGAGTTGTGGAAGACAAGCACGAAATCTTCCAACTTGGAAACAATGTAAAAATCAAGCTTGCAAGCAGCAAGAACAGAAGAAGCCAAAATACCATCAAACCAATTAAACTGCCAGTCGCTTGGAACAGACTTAAAACATTCTCCATGAGAGCCAACAGAGAAGGGCCAAAGATCAACAGCCATAGAGCTCCCACAATTAGAAATGGCACAACTGGTGATGGCCCGCTACTCCTCATTGCTTGGCTGACACCTGCCCCTGTCACGCCGGCTTATAGAGTCCACCTGGGGTTTTCAGAATCGTGAATTTCTAGTTGAGGGAGATATTAAGGGATATCTAGAATTTTTCTACGTTGCTCAAAAAGTGAAATCTTCTGGGGAAGTATATAAGAGAAGTGTGAGGGTGTGGATGAAGGGTTTGTTGTAGATGGGTATGATCCTTTTCTTTGGTTAATGAGTTGGTAGTTGGCCTATGGAGATGTCTTTATTATTATGTTAACAATATATTTATCTTAGTTGATCATTGCCCTTATTTTGTTGTTTAATAATCGAGGTTAGTTTTTTGGCCACCAAAAGGTTTGAATATATTTTGCTATGAAGTAAGAAAAAATCAAAATAATCTGAATTAGTTAGGAGTTAAATGCTAAAATATTTTGTGACAATGACATGCTTTTTATTGTCAATCTCTCCAAAGTAACATCTTTCTTTAAAGAAATTATAATGCCATTTGATGGAAGAATTGAAGATTACTTGATAACTTCAATCAACATATTCTTGTGTCAAGAGAGGAAATATAGATTTTTTTTTTTTTTTTTGATATGAGAAAGGAAATATGAAATTCATTCTAGAGATTTTGATTCCTGTTCAATTTTTTTTTTAAGATTGCTGTTAAACTTTCTATTTTGACTTTTTAATGTTTTAATTTTTTTAATATACTAAAGTAATTGAGCTTAATAAGATTAATATTATGAAATCTAAAATCAAGCTTTGATCTCAAATTAAGTAGTGCAGGAGATAGTCAGCTTCAAAGCCTTCAATGTCATAGAAGGCACTAGGCAACCCAAAGCCTAAGCAGTGCTGCACTCAAGGAGGCTATTTGGTCAAAAATTAATTTTATTAAAAAAGTGTTATACAAAAAAATTGAAAAATGTTGTATAGAAAGCTAATAAATTTTGTAATAAAATTTTGTTAAATTAAAATTTCATTGAATTGTTAATTTTTTTGTGTTTGATAAGACATTGACATATGGAAAGTTAGTTCAAAAGTTTGAGAACTTTTTTCTAAAATCTATCCATTAAAAATTAGAGTGACAATATAAGAATAATCTTTTTATATAATTTTCACATATTATTAAATAAATAAATAAATTTAATATCACAATTCTAAATAAAAAAAATTAATCATTTAAATGATACATAAAATTGTAAAAATAGTAGTACAAAAATATTATTCTTAAATCATTTTCTTAAAAATTATATCAGAAAAGATAAAAGGATAGAAGTATAACTTTTACCCCTTCTGTTGGAATATTAAGGCCTGAAAAATATCAATAATCTTAAACAATACATGTAATGTGAGGAAAAAAAGTTAGGGGAAAAAAAATCAAAATTAATAAAAAAATTTTTTTTAAAAATTAAAAGAAACGCCCAATGCCTAAAGCCAGGCGGCGTAGCACCACCATCTAAAAAGGCCTACACAAGGCCTAGGCGTGGCGTCAGATTGGTTGCCCTCGTGTTAAAGTGTATTAAGTCACAATGTTTCAACTCTCAATATGGTCCCCCACATGATGAATGGAGTGGAACCACTCCATTACGTTAAGCGAGAACACCAATGGGGATTTAGACTTTAGAGTTCTAGACTTTCAACTAGGGTTTTAATAATAAGAAAAATAGATTGTGAACTATTTGAATTAAGTTTGAACTTAATTTTAATTTAATAAAAAAAATAAGTTTAAAGTTGAATTTTCATAATTATTTATAAGTTATTTGTGAGTACTTAATTTAAAATTTAAAATTATATTATTATATTTATTTATTAAATTTAAATATATAATTATTTAAAAACTTAATATGTTAAAAAAATAACTTAAATAAATTACATATTTTGAGTTATAATTATTAATAAAAATGTACAAATAGAATTTATACTTATTTATTTATTACTGAGCCTAATATGTTCAAAGCTTATAGCACTACAATATTTTTGAAAAATATAAAAAAATTTATAATTAAATAATTAATTATTAAAATATTTTAAGATTAAAAAAAAAAAACTCAAATTCAAGTTGAAATATTTGTTAGCTTGAACTTGTGAACAAACTTAAATTCACTTGAATACTTGCAAACTTAAGTACAAATTCAACTATTTTGAGTTCAACAAATACTTGAACTCAAATTTTTTAGACAAACTCAAGCAAGAGTACTTAGGTACTCGATTCAACTTGTTAACAACCCTACTCTAACTCCTCATACCCCCTACCTACCATTTGGTTAAAGCTACTTAAATCTATTTAATTTGATTGTTAAAAATAACTAATATTAGACAAAATAATTGATATTTATTATTTAACAAATTAAAATTAATTTATAAACTAAAATTTTCAAACATCATAACCAACTATTTTAAAAAAACTACAAACAAATAAAATATCAATCAAGCTAAATAGCTTTTAGGTGGCTTAATAAAATGATGGGTAGTTGTAACCACACCCTTCCTATGAACATAAAATATAGTGGAAAAAAAAAATGAACTCAATATGAAAATTAAAAATTCAACCCAATAAAATTCAGAACAAAATGCAAGTTAAAAAGAGAAGAAGAATTCAAGCCACTTTAATTCCTAAGAGTCTAAAATAGAATACTATAGGGCCATTAATTCTTCAACTTCCTTCCCACTCTTTTTGCCCACCTATGAGCCAAACTGAAAAAACTACAGGACACGAGAGACCACTAACTACGGTCTATCCCTGCTCGACGTTTGAACCGACTGACTTTAAATCCTTGAGTATGGGATCAAGGTCCAGAGTTCAAAAATTCTATAACAGTACCAATTTTAACTGCATGACATATTGAATCTTTCACCTGGCCACTCATGAACTAATTTTTGCATCCTTCTTCCAACCAAAGGAACATGTAGCAGTTGTCAGCAAGCAAGCACAACAAAGAGAAGCAGAAAAAGTAAAACATGAAATGAATGAGCTTCACCATTTATATGTAACAAAAACTTTCAATATGAAGTCATGAATGGTATATACTTGTAACCAAATAACCAATATTAGATAATCAGGTAACACACAATAACAGTAAATGGATAAATGTCTAATAATCACAGAGAGAAAGTGAGAGAACTACCACTAAATCACCCGCTTTGCACTATTAATCTACGACTCAACTTGTTATCCTGCTTTACTCTGGAACTATGCAATTGTATCATGAAAGTCCTGCCACAGATTGGTCGAATCAAGGTGTAGGACTGTACTTGAGATGCTGCTCATAGAAGTTGATCAACTAGTATTTGAAGAAAAGAAACAATAAGAATAGATACGTTAGAAAATTAGTTGCCAGGCCACTGTAAATTTACTAGGAAATATCATATGTAGAAGAAGAGCAATTACCAGAATAGGATTGTTAGCTTTGAGGAATTTGTTGTCCACTATAACTTCTTTTCCATCAGACCTAGTCATTAGGGAATGACACGATTGATTGTCAAGTAGCAAAAGAAACTAAAAAGCTTCAAGTTTACATAAACTGTAAACTAAAACTACAAAGGAACTCATTCACATACCAAAAATAAATACCTTCAGCAGATATTTTTAATTTACCAACTCAGTGCAACAAATTACAATTAATTAGAAAAACACCAGAAGCAAATTATCCAAAAGATATTTTGAGTGTGTTTGGCAAGCTACAGAAAGCTACTTTCTTCTCTTGCTTATCACTTTAAATGCTATAAAGCAATATTTTTCCCTCCTACAAGCTTTTAAAATTCAGAGAGAAAAAAGTGCTTATATGCATTATCTTGCATAACCATCCAGCCATTTCATTGCTTTCCCATAATGATACAATCCATGTTAAATTTCTATTTGACATACATGGGTTCTTGCTTGATAGTGTTTTATGGGATTTTATGGTGTCTGCCCAAATAAACAGAAATTTATTTTAATTTTCTTTTTCCAGAATGTATTTACCTTCACATGATGTATGATATAGTAAACATACTATTAGTTAGCATCTAAAATCATTACAAATTACATTAATTAATTACATTGCCAGACTACTGGCAAAAGCAAAACAAGATTCGACCATACTGGTACATTAATAAATAATCTAATAAGAGCCAGAAGAAACAAATTCAGTTCACTGCACTTAAACTTATAAAGATCAGATAAGAGTATAAAGCCAACAATTGAAGATTTTCAAATTCAGCTGAATGATAACCAAAGAAACTTCTTGAAATTCTACTTTAACTCGATTGCCTACCTAAAAAGCTTCAAAACAAACATTGAAAACCACTAACAGCACTTGCTTAAAGTAAGAGACAAATCAATCACTTAAGATATTTTAATTGTTGGAAACAATGTAATCTTGTCTTGTTCTTAGCTTTTAATTTCTAACAAGTTGCAAAGTGGCGATCAACCTCTCAAAATTTTTCCACCCATCCATTTACCAATATAACTCCAACACCATCCAGCATTTCTAACATATATACTAAATCTTCACACTGTCCAGCTTAAATTGCACTTTGAAACAATGCTCTTGAACTAATTCACACTAATTTCTGATTTCTCCTTTATCACCAACATAATTCAGGAACTACTGAAACTTGAAAAACTCAACGAGGAGAATGCAGGGCGAAATGACAGTCAAAAACAGAATTGAGGACCTCCTAATTATTATATAAAAAGATTTATTGTTTCAAAAAGAATAGATGAGATCATGAGAATGGGGAACTTGACAACAAACCTCGTTGCCACAAAGATTACTGACACATCTTGACTATTATCTGATACTGAAGATGAAAATCCTATTGGCTTTAGTATCTCGGTTATAGTGCATGCGTTTACTGGATGATCAACCTTGGGCTTGTAGCTTGAATTTTCACCAGTTAAAATAGGATTTTCAATCCCTATCCATGCATCTGTAACACTATAACTGACAGTCATATTTGGTGTTGAATTTTGTGTCAAATTTGGTTCAGAAAGGGCTGGATCTTGTTTAAATCTCTTCACAGAACCAGACTTTCTTCTTTTCGCCCCAGTCTGACGATTACTTTGAACTGTTTCTTGATGTGATACCTTTGGGAGCCCATTCGCAAGGCCATCACCTTCAGAAGCCTTCCCTTCTTGGAATTTTAATGAAAGCTTATCTGCATTTACCCCATTGGAAGATACTTCTCCTTTTAGCTCACTAAGTTTTGTATCATACTCATTTCCTTCCCTCCTTTCATCAGTTTTTTTTAAACCATTGGAAGATCCATTTTCATTAGCTCGGTTGGCCAGTCCAACAATATTAAAATTTCCATTATTCTTTCCCACATGACCAGCTACTGATACTTGATTTGAGGCAGGAAGATGGCTAAAACTTGAATTGTCAAAAGGGACCAAGGCTAAAGACTTCTCACCAAAACTGGCTTCAGAAACACCACCAGTGTATGACCGTGGCTGCCTCTTCTTGGACTGTACATGAGGACCTCCATACTTGCGTTTGCGCTTTCGAGTATGCTTTCCTGAACGCAGGCTTCCAAACCAAAGAGGAAATAAGTATAATATCCAAAAGAAAAACATAGAATGGAAATATTTACATACTGATTTTCAACACCTTGATTTCCTAAAAAAGCTAAGGGTTGAAGAAAGGCAATACTTGTCAGATTATACCACAACTTAAGCCAACCAAATGATAATTAGACTAAAATAACTTGATAAGCTGGCTGGCAATGTATGTGATATGGAATAATAAAAAAACAAGCAGATAATGAACAGCATAGAAAGTAATCTTACCTCTCTTCAAAGGCATCGATGACATCAGAACAAGACTGGAGATTCTCTAATGGCTCCCATGTGTTTGCTGTTTCAGCCCATCCACGCCTTCAATAAACCATACTCAGTAATAAGGATAATTGTACTTGATACTATTCCTACCAATTTATGATACAGCTACTAACTAATACTAAACCAGAAAGAAAAACAATGCAGAGATTCTTTAACAGGAGGAAGGGTGATCACCATTTGATAAGATACTGGAGCTGACCCTATTGTTTGCAACATTCCAGAGACAAAGCAGCGGCAAAACCAAAAACAATGCACAAACTTCTTATAATTAGATAAAATCAACAATGAAAAAGAATAAACCATAAGAAAGCAAAAGAAGCATAAAATACATAAATCAAAATACATATAAGTTCTTTCCTTCCTTTAATCCAGGTATTTCCACAACCAATTCACAAACATGACCCCTTAGAATCAGATAAAATTGAGAAACCCCATTTAGCTGCCTGAAGTTTGAACAGGCCATATCAGAATTACCTCAAATATGTTTTCTTTGTCTTTCCTTAATTCTATAACCTATGGTTGGTTCTAGAGAAAAATGCCAAGAAAAAGAAGGAAATAAGAGTCCACCAGAAAACAGAAGAGAATAAAAATCTAACCTTTCGTATCCTTTTCCGACGAATAGCTTCAATCTCGAAGAACCCCTCATCGAGCTTGGTTCGCTCTTCTTGTCCCTCCTCCACACCCTTCTCCCCGCCATCCTCCTCCCCCTCCCCCTCCTCTTCCTCCTCCTCCTCCTCCTCCTCCTCCTCCTCGCCTTCTTCTTCTCCCTCTCCCTCCCCATCTCCCTCCTCCCCTTTCCATTTCTCCCCATTCCCTTCACTCTCTTTACAATCACTCACCCCATTACCATTTTCATCAGAAACCACTTTCTTGTTCACTTCCTTCTCAGCCTCCTCTTCCACCGCATCGTTCTGAACCTTCTTCCTTCCTCCCCCCTTCATTCTTCCCCCACAGCTACCAAACTAACAATTTCCAGACAAACCCAGAAAAATCTAAAAACCCCTTTTTCCTTTAACTCAACTATTTGCAAATTAAAAAGTAGAAAATGCAAAGGGTGGAGGGACTTAGCTTCTGTGTTTAGGAGTAAGAAGCAAACTGGGGAAGGACTCGAGTCTAGAGATGTGCAAAATTCTTTTTCCTTTTTTTTTTTTTTTTTTTCAGGTTTTCTGTTTGGAGTCGTGTTTTACTTTACGAAGCAAAAATTGACCGGACCCGTTACCCGACATGAGTTGACCTGAACCCGTCCGACCCCTCTGAAGTTACTTTATGGTACTAATATTTTGTTTGGCTAAAATATTTCAAGGTTGGTGAATTAACTATTGGATTCCAAACACTTTGCTCTATAATCTTTTTTCCCGCCATGACGCTTTAGTTTTAGTTTTTTATTAATTTTTTAACTCTAAATAATAAAAAACACGTTTAATTTTATGTTTAATTATTAACATATTAATACAATTATTAGAGAAATTAAAATAAAAATACCAGATTTTTAGGTCGATATGCAGAAAAAAGTATAGAAATGTACATGAAAAATACTTACATGCTATTGATGAATTAGCAATCATAAGTGATTTTTGTAGATTATTTAAGTAATTACACAAATATTATTATATTCTTTTACAAATTGATTTGAAAAATATTTTTATATGATAGTTTTAAGAGGATAGTGTAAGGCACGTTATTCGCTCAAAAATCTTTTTAGAGGACTTGTAAAAGCCCAAGTTTCAGTTAATATTTTTAAAAGTTGATTGTTAAATTACAAATTTTATTAATATAGATCATACATATTAATTTTCATATTAATTTAATAATTATAATTTTTTGATAAAAAAAATTATTTACTGACATATTTAAGAGTGTTAATTTTTTTATAATTAATGAAATAGTTAAATATATTAAAATAATTTTAAATTTAACATACATGATTTATATAAATAAAACTTTTAATTTAACAATTAAATATTAATTAAAAGATAAACTTTTAGTCAGGTCCTCCAAAAAAAATTTAGGAGGACAATAACAATCTATAAAACATGTTTTCTTAGTTTTTATATAACTAAATAAATTTATAATTTTAGTTTTTAATGTTAAAACTTATTTTAAATAAATTATTAATTTTTTATTTTTAGTTTTAATTTTTAACTAATGCAAAATTTTAAAAGTAAAATTAAAAACTAAAGATCACAAGAGAAATTATAATAAATCTTTAAAAGCTCCTAATTTTAGACATTATTTTTTTATCCGGTGAATTATACAAAATTAGGGAAGAACCTTGCGACTCAAACTTGGCTTCTTGTTTTGTACTTTTCTTTTTGTTTTTTGTGTGGGGTGAAGGGGTTAAGGAGGGAAAGTGTAGGTTCAAATTCCTTTATGAAGGGGTCAAAGTTTTTTGTATTAGTGAGAAATTCATTTCAACTATTAAGGCTTCATGCTATTGCTATTAAGTGCATTGTTATTGTAAATGATTAATAATTTAAAAAAATAAAAAAAGAAAGAAGAAAAAGTAGCTAACAAGTGCAACTCAGTGTTATTTTTCCTTCAATGAAATGAATTTAAATCGAGTGGGTTAAGGGAGTATGTTTGGTTTGAGGGGAGGAAAGGGGAAAGGGAAGA